TTTTACCGCCCTATATTAATGTTATTAACCGGGATAGCTTTTATTTATTGGATAATGACGCTCAACAAAGATCCATATCCATATCCACAAAATATAATATACTCAAATAATCACAACAATAATGATGATGATTCAATATTTGGCGAAGCCTATCCAGATGGTATATTTATATCAACACAAGAAGATTGGGTGTATTTAACTGCTATCTGGAAAGAATTTGAAACTGACATGGAAGATGCAACTGGTAATATGATAATAGTAATAATAATTTTTGATTTATTGATATAACTTTTTTTTTAATTTTTGGGCAATACTTAATTTTTCAGGATTAATTAAGCAGTTTAAAAGACCTTTAGATTTAATATTGTCACCAGGAAACACTGATCCAAATAATAGTAAGATCAAACATATATACATATTTACTTACTATTAATCATCACTTAATATGATTTGTTAAAATGGTGTTTTTTTCAGAATGGAAACTTTTATATGTTCACCGTTTAGAAGGGCCAATAACACATATATCGAGCTTTTACCATGACAATGGTACACAATTAACAAATTTTAATTATAAAGAAAATAATGCATTAGCAATCTTGTACCAAACTCAGTCAAATGAACAAATTAAAATTTTTCTAAGATTATATAATATTGGAAATTATGAGGATGATGATTATGATTCAGACTTTTTTTGAATTATTTTTTGAATTGTTGAATGTTTATTTTTTATTTATTGATATATTGTTTTTTTTTATTATTAGTGTGTAAGATAGATTCAATTTATACATGTAATAATACACCATCCTTTAAATATCAAGATCTTCTTCCTGGTAATACAGCCATAAAATCATTTCATGTAGATAATTATTTAATATTATATTCAAGGTAGGAAGCAAATTTTCTTTTTTTTTTCTTGCAAATTAAGTAACAAAAATTATTATATTATTATATATTACTTAGATATCCTGATAATGCTAAATTTCAAACAATTCCAATTCCAAAAAACATATTTGATTTTTCAAAAAATAAAGATTTATTAGAAATTGAGTCAAGTGAATCTGGACCAATTCAAAGTTTGCAAAAATATTATACTTGAATAATTTTTAGTAGCAATCTTGAATAATAATCTAATAAAAAATAATTGATTATTTTATATAGGAATTAAAAAAAACTTGCCAAATGTCCAAACATCAACTGTACTTTGTAGAGTTTATGCTGTGTGAGATATTTTTAATAATGATTTTTCAATTAAATTTAATGAATGCTTTCTGTTAAAGAAAAAAACAATTATCCTAAAAAATATATTTGAAAAAGACCAGGAGTAATTTGTGTTTTGAATGCTACAGTGATTGCAAATGAAGAAAATTGGATCTTTGAAGTTTCAGTAACTCATAATTCAACTTATACTGATGCTGTTGATGGAATCAAAGATTCAAATTGGAGAACAAAATCATTAAGAATTGTATGCTACACACATATATATTTATTTTGGTATTTTGTTTATATATATTTATTATTTATTTTATTTTAGTATACGCCATCAATTAAAAGATCAAGTTCAGATATTGAATTTGTATATGGATTAACACCTAGTCAACCTGTATTAGTTCCAAAACCAATAGTTGGTAATATTGTAAATCCTTTACATTTATAAATATAATAATATTCATTTTTTTATAATGCTCTTTTTTTTCACACATAATCATGGTCATAATCATCAATCATCACCATTATAGTGACAGCATGTAATGTTACAACAATATGTATAGCTTTGAATAATATTTTGTTCGCATTTGATTATAGTAACGCACCAAAAATCAAGAAACGCATCTAACGGAAGCATACACTGTTAGGAGTGAATATCTTCCTGTGTTAGATGAATGGTCATTACAGGTTATTGGAACTGAAATCAACACAAATGGAGATTTATTAATACTTGTAACTC